TCATGAATCATACTGTCACTTTGAAACTTAACTCAAGACATGAATAATCATATATCATCATATTATCACAGTGAATCTAACATATCTCATACATTCACATACTTTCCACATAAATCACATCATTATAATTCACAATCATGTTCATATGCATAAATTCAATTACAATATAATAAAATACAATCATCACAATTATAATTCATAATTCCATATCTACCACAATAACATGAATTCATTAGACATTTCCATTCCAACAAGATATATTACACAATAATTTAACAATACAAAATCTGTTCAATAGGATTTAAGTTAAAAACTTATCGAGTAGACTTCCAGGAAAGAGAGGTGCGTCACAATGGACAACTTAAGTACCAAGTCTTTCCTTAGCCAAAGTGTTCCTCAACTAGTTTTTAACAAATTTCTTATTTAAAGATTCAAAACAACAGCATATAATATTTACACCGAATTTCAACATAGATAGATATACAGTAAGCATTAACAGTATTCACACAGAATTTCAAGATATGAATAGTAATAAAACAATATTAAATCATAATATAAAAGCATAGAAGGGTTAGCTCCCCTACCTCTATTCCAGACTTCTCTTGCTCCAAATTTGTTTCCCCGAAAACTCTTCAGAACCTCTACTCTTCTTGCAACTAAAAATTTCTCCCTAAGTCTTTCTTCTCTATTTCTCAAGCTCTCACTTGATTCCTCCTCTCTTGGTGCAGAATACCCTTCCCTCCCATGGCTATTTATAGGTAAAAAATTTTACTATTCATTAATTTTTTTAATATTATTTATTATTTTAATATTATTTAAAAATAATATTTTAATCATCCACTTGATTAAATCTGATCCTAATTTCTTCCTTTTTTTTTACTATTCACTATTCACTATTCACTATTCACTATTCACTTTTTACTATTCACTATTCTATTCAATTTTCTTAAAAAAAATCCTAAATAAGTTATCAAAAATTTGAACCTCTCCTTCTAGAATTACTATAATTTTATATCCAAAATTTACATTTTTCTATCCATTAAAATTATTATTACTAATAAAATGCTAAAATTTACTACTATAAATATTTTTCATGAGTCTTACAAGAGGCCTTGAAAAATTGATTCCCAAAACACTCTCTTAAAGTGGAATAAGATCAGAGTTAAAGTAGATTTAACTCTAGTACAATACTTTAATTAACTTCTACATATAAGACATTCAACATAGGGATTAAACCGAGTCATATTAGATTGAAGGATCAACCCTTTGGTCTGGGATGACTCGACTTTACTCTTCGACACAAGTCAATTTAAATTGACCATCGGCCCAAACCTACTCGAGTCGACCTTTGGTCAAGAGCGACTTGAGTTGACCTCTAGCCATGGTTGACTTAGCTTAGTACGAACTCTGATATGGATTGCTTGGCCTTAACCAACTCAACTTAATTATTTGGCTGAAATTGGCTTGATTTGACCTTCAGCTCAAGCCAACTAGAATCAACATTCAATCTAAGCTTGCTTGGTCTGACCTATTATCCCATGACAACTCGACTTGACCTTCTTGCCAAATCGGTTTAGGTATTAGCACAGACAAGCTTCGCTTGACCTTTGGTCTAAGTAGCTCAACTCCATTCTTTGGTCTGACCAACATGACTAAATTTTGTGGCCCAACTTATTTGGCTTGAATTCTATCAACCTTAACTTAACCTTAGATGCAACTTGACTTGAACCCAACTTTAACAACCTACTTGACTTAGTTCCTACCCAACCTTATCTATATTAACTTAAAGACTGATTCACATATACCAACATGATGACTATCCCTTACTTACGATACTTTTGGTGCTATTTTGACCTTGTAAACATTTTTTATGTTGGCTATTTTAGTCTTGTAGATTTTTTTTGACTCCGATATGTGGATTAAAACCAAATCCTATATATTTAGCCAAATTGACAACTTTATCAATTTGATAAATAGAGATCCAACTATAAATTCAAAAGTTAGAAAGGATTTATATAAAGAGTTTCTTTTATTAGTATTTCTATTCAGTTATAAGAGTTATATTAATCCCATTCGTATTCAAGAACTATACCAAAGGGAATTAGTTAAATGAGAAAAGTAATGAAAAAAAAGCCATTTAAAGGATCTATAACGTAGAATAGATAATGTACCATAAGGACTGGGCGGACGTACAATGTTAGTCAACCGGACGTCCGTGCTTTCGTAAACACTACCTAACTGCGCGACCTTGCCACTCGTCATCCGGATGAATAACAATTCATCAGATTATCAATTAACCAGATTATGGCCGGCCGGTTGTAAACCCTAACAGTAGGGGTCGGCCGACCATATCGCCAATTAACCAGATTAGGATCAATGGGAAAGAAGAACACAAACACTGGACGAATTATATGGATGAGTATGTTATTGGGGTAATCAATTTCATCTTATCCACTCTCATATATTTTAGGAATGCATCATTCTTTTCATCAGTGTTAATGTCACTCTCTAAATTACTTTGCGAAGAAAGCCTATCCTTAATTACGAGTTCATACAATTCCTAGCATCCCTAGTAATTAATTCTGAAGCACAGAAGCTTAAAGGCAACCAACCCTCATATCCCTATGTCTAGGCAATATGCTATTGGGAGAATTTCCCCGGATCTAGATTTCCTGTTATGTGTCCATATCGACAAAATCAATAATCATGACATCGAATGAGTTAAACAATGCATGCTTTGAGCAAAGAGGAAAAACCCTAACTAATGATGAAAGAAAGCATGTATCTCAAATAAGATGTTTAAACACAAATTCCATATATGAGAGCTTCACAAGATTACATTGATTCCCTAACAACAATACAAAGTTTAGTTCACCATATTCATGGTGAAGCTAGATGAAATACAATGAAAGGGTGAAAGATAGAACCTTCGAAAGTAGAGTAGGTAGCCTTAGCATCCAAGATCTTCCTCCAAGGGGTGGAAAAGTGTGTGTTTGCTTCGTCCTCTGCCAAAGATACAAACCCTAGGAAGTCCTAAAGCTTATATATTATTCGAAATATTACAGAAAAGTGGGCCTAAGCCCAAAATAATGTCGCTCAGTGGCAAACTACCGCTCAACGGTAAGTGCGTGTGTTGAATTCTTCCCCTGAGCTGCACTTTCACCACTCAGCGGAGCCAACGAGAGTTCGTTAGTGCCGCTCAGCGGTAAACTGGCGCCGAGCGGTACTTGCGGCTTCTCTTCTTTTGCACTTTTTGACTTCTTTTATGATTCCATCTCTATCCTTCTTCACTTCTTTCATCAAATTCACCTTAAAACCTGCATAAAACACTGAAATCAAGCATAAACCTGTCCAACTCTCTTATTTCCAAAAATATAAACAAAAGCATGATTCCAAGCTAGTTGCTAAGTGTTAAAGGTTGCTTTTAGTATCAATCTTAAGCATGAAAATAACAGTTTTTCAACTGTTATCACGGGCCAGTCCCCGAAAACCGGAGAGACGTAGGGGATCCCGGAACGAGCGGTCTGACCGACAGCGCTCGGAAAGGCGGAGTAGTCGAAGCAGAAGCAGAAGTCACGATCGTCCTCTGAGGGGACACATCAATACCATATCGGGTGGCTTTGCAGGGGGAGGATCGTCTGCATCAGCCTGGAAGGGTCACGTATAGGCCTTACAGTCCGTTCACTCAGTGGCGAAGCCCCGGCGAACGTTGCCTCCCATCACGTTTTCACACGAAGACTTCCACGCGCCTGACCCTAACTAGGATGACCCGATGGTGATAACAGCAAAAATAGCCCGATACGGCGTGAGCAAAGTCCTAGTGGATCAGGGAAGCTCGGTGAACATCCTCTACTGGAAAACGTTCCAGCAGATGGATATTTGCAGGCGAGAGGGTAGACACCCGAGGATACGTCGATCTACGCACGAGGTTGGGAACCGGACGACACAACGAAGAGAAGAGGGTTAGATATCTTCTGGTGGAGGCTAATACTTCCTACAACGTATTGCTAGGTCGCCCGTGCCTCAATGCCTTTGGAGCTATTGTATCAACCCCCCACCTCACCATGAAGTATCCTTCAGACAGAGGAACAATCTGCATCGTCCGGGCAGATCAGAAGACTGCCAATGAGTGTTATGCCTCGGGGTTAAAAATCCACACTCGCCAAGTGAAGCGAAGAACGAGCGGATCAGAGGTAGCTATGGCCGACCTCAACCCACGAACCAACACCGATTATCGATTGGAACCCCTAGGGGAGACGCAACCGGTGTTAATTGGGACAGACACTTCCCAAACAACGACGATGGCCCAGGGACTAGCACCCGAGGCGAAGTAGGAACTTCGGTCCATCCTGTGGGAAAACTGCAACCTCTTCGCGTGGACGGCCGCTGACATGCGGGGGATCCACCGCTCCGTCATGTCTCATAAATTGGCACTCTTCAAAGACGCAAGGCCGGTTGCACAGAAGAAGAGACGAATGGGTGAAGAGAAGAGAAGGGCGGTAGAGGAGGAGGTGAAGAAGTTGAAGGAAGCCGGGTTCGTTAGAGAAGTGACGTATACCACTTGGCTTGCCAATGTGGTCATGGTGAAGAAGACCAGTGGGAAATGGCGCATGTGCACCGACTACACAGATCTGAACAAAGCCTGCCCGAAAGATTCTCACCCTCTACCGAGTATAGACGCTTTGGTGGATGGAGTGTCATGACATAGAATGCTAGGCTTCCTAGACGCCTACTCAGGGTATAACCAGATACCCATGTACGAGCCGGATCGGGATAAAACGGCCTTCATCACCGAGAAGGCCAGTTTCTGCTATGAAGTAATGCCTTTCGGTTTAAAGAATGTTGGGGCCACCTATCAACGCTTGGATGATAGGATCTTCGAAAAGCAGATCGGCCGGTGCATGGACATTTATGTAGATGACATGGTCGTCTGTTCTGTCGACAGATGATCTCATATAGAGGACTTGGAAGAGGTGTTTCGACAATTGCGAAAATTTGGGATGCGCTTGAATCCGGCCAAGTACACATTCAGGGTGGCGGCTGGAAAATTCCTCGGGTTCATGCTCACCTCTCGGGGCATCGAGGCCAACCCCGATAAGTGCGAGGCTGTGTTACAGATGCAAAGCTCCACCACCCTTAAGGAGATCCAACGGCTGTTAGGCCGACTCACAGCTTTGTCGTGGTTTATCCCAAGGCTAGCTGAAAGGGTTGTCCGGTATTACAGAAAATGAAGAAAGGACTTGCCGTCAAGTGGGATGCCGAGTGCGAACAGGCGTTTCAGGACGTTAAAGCCATCCTGATGAAACCGCCGGTAATGAACCGTCCTACGCCAGGCGAAGACTTGCAGATCTTTTTGGGCGTATCGGATTCGGCGATCAGCGCGATATTGGCGCAAGAGCGGCCCGAGCCCAAGCTCGTGTACTTCATCAACCGAACACTTTAGGATGCTGAGTTCTGATATCAATAAGTGGAGAAGGTCGCTCTGGCCTTGCTGAACGCATCCCGTAGGCTTCGGCCGTACTTTCAAAGCCACCAAGTGGTAGTAAGAACCGACTACCCCATATCCAAGATTTTGAGGAAATCGGACCTTGCGGGGCGAATGGTCACGCAGGCCGTGGAATTATCGGAGTTCGGCCTACGTTACGAACCCAGAGGATCAATCAAAGGACAACATCTGGCCGACTTCGCTGCCGAATTGCCTCAGGAAGTCAACGAAGAATGGAACCTTTACGTCGACGGGGCGTCCGGGAGAACGATAAGTGGAACTGGCATAGTCCTTGAAGGCCCGAACGGATTTTTGTTGGAACATTCCTTGATATTCAAGTTCAAGGTATCCAACAACCAGGCGGAATATGAAGCCCTGGTAGGCGACCTAGAACTAACAAGAGACATGGGAGCGCGGAGGGTGGTGTGCCGGACGGACTCCCAACTGGTGGTGGGTCAAATGAATGGGGAGTTTCAAGTGAAAGAGGAGCAATTGCTCCGATACTTCCACAAAGCGACAGCCCTAGCCAAGTTGTTTGACAGAATCGACATTCGGCACATCCCTCGTGAAAACAACACCCGAGCGGACATGTTGTCGAAACTAAGCTCAAGCAAGGAGAAAGGGCAAATAACGACGATTATACGCCAAGTATTGCTACAATCTTCGGTCGAGTGCATGTCGGTGGCGAATGTTGAGGAAGGGGATTGGCGGTCGGAGATCCGAAGACTGATGACCAAGCAGGACGCCGGACAGCCCGTTAAATCGGCAGACGCGAAGAAAATTGCTTGTTACCTATTAGTGGGGGACGACCTATACAGAAGAGGATTCTCCACCCCCCTCCTCAAATGCTTGGGGAAAGAGGAAGCATGCTACGTGATGGACGAACTCCACAACGGAATATGCGGTTTCCACACCGGGCGTCGGACCTTGAAGGCCCGGATACTAAGAGTAGGATATTACTGGCCGACGATGGAAGAGGATGCGAAGATACTCGTCCAGAGATGCCTCTGCCGCCAGGCCCACACCAACAACACTCACCTGCCACTCCACACCCTGCATACAATAACATCGCCTTAGCCATTCGCTCAGTGGGGTATGGATATTGTTGGCCCATTCCTAGTAGGTCGAGCGCAGAAGAAATTCCTCCTTGTAGCTATAGACTACTTCACCAAGTGGTTAGAGGCCGAACCTTTAGCGACCATTACGGCATCCCAAGTGCAAAAATTCTGCTGGAAGTTGATATGTCGGTTCGGGCTCCCTCGTACGATCATTACTGACAACGGTCGGCAATTCATCGACAAAAAGTTGGTGGAGTTCTACACGAGTTTGGGCATTAAGCACGTCACTAGTTCGGTGGAACACCCTCAAACGAACGGCCAGGTAGAATCCATGAACAAAACCAGAGTAGCCGAATTGAAGAAGCGGCTGGACGAGAAGAAGGGAGCATGGGTGGACAAACTTCTAGAGGTATTATGGGCTTACCGGTGCACACCGCACGGAACAATTGGCGAGACCCCCTTCAATTTGACATATGACACTGACGTTATGCTGCCGGTCGAACTAGGAGAACCTTCGTTGCGACGCTGAATGAACGACCTTCAACTGAATGAAGGAGAGCTTCGATTAGAACTCAACTCCCTTGAAGAACGAAGAGACCGGGCGACATTACGAGCCGAAGCATGCAAACGCATGGTGGAGAGAAAATACAATTCCAAGGTCAGACCGAGAAACTTCCAGGAAGGCGATCTGGTGTGGAGGACGGGTCCACGAACACGGCCGCCAGGCTCGGGGCAGGCTCTTGGACGACAGGGACAGGTCCTCCAGCCGCTTCGACAAGAGGGGCAGGTTGTGGTTCCGCAGTAATCTTTGGTATCCAGCTGCCGAATTTGACCGCTGGACAACAGGAGGACGAAGAGCGGGCGTAGGTACCTTCGCCCGGGCGGACGACGAGCTTGCTCCAGCTCTCCTCTTGGAAGCCATGAAGTTGGATTGACGGGGGGAGGAGCAGTCATGAGATCTGGAAAAAACAAAGAAACTCAACTACGTTAATGTCGACATACTAAAGAAAGACGAATTCAACATAAGAATACCATACCGAACGCCTTTCGTTCACAATCCTCATGACGAAGGCATTCGACTAAGTGGCGGGCAGAAATGCGGCGAGGGAAGGCGTTGATAGTCCGCACAGCCTCTAGGTCGGCCGAGTTCATCACTCCCACGGGAAACACTTTTATTTTTCGAGGTTTCCTTGTCCAATAAAAAGGGAACAACGAATTCCCCGCAGCATCAATGAACTCATGACGGCCGGCTTCATCGATGATGATCTTGAAATAATGATGTTTGAAGTTTTTGAACGAGTCAGAGAACAGACGGAAGAGTGTCCTATCCCGGACAGAGGTCAAAGACCCCCAACCACCATTAGGGAGCGAACGAACCTCGAAATAGTGGAAGAAGACGAGGATGGTCGGAGTAACACCCACGGCCAAACACATTGTAAGAAATGCCTGAATGGCCGCCCAAGAGTTAGGATGCAGCTATGCCAAGGCAATGTTTGCTTCCCGAAGAACGACCATCTGAAACTCGGTGAAGGGCACCCAAACACAAAGTTGCTCGAAGACATTAGCATACATGTAGAAGAAGTCGTCCGGGCTCGACCTCTTCCCATAGTAGACTCGTTCATTCCTTAGACTAACCCCCGCCCGGATCAACCTAGAATCCTCCACATCTCGGACGATATGAAGACGGTTGACCCTCCAGGTTAGTAGCTCGCTAGCACCATACGCCGAGGCAAACAAGCTCGAACCATAAAAAGCCCAGTCATACTCCGTCACCACAGTGCCGTCACCATCCTGCTCAAAAGGGGAGCCATCGATACCGATGCCGCCCTTGAGCAAGAAGATGGGAATCTCGTTGGTGATCCGAGTACCCACGACGTTAGGAGAGCCGCGTTCCCCTTTAGGAGACCGGACGGACCCTTCCAAAAACGAGGACGACACCAAACTTGAAGAAGCGCCACGCTCGCCATCACCGCCCGCCGAACTCCCGCCGCTTCCGCCCGACGACTCGAAAGAAGATTCAATATGGACGACAACCATTTATTACCTGAGAGAAAATGAATACCGAGCTTGAAGAAAAACGGAGAAAGTGAAAATGACAGCGCCACCTCTCCCTATTTATAGAAAAAACTTTCATAACCGTCAAGACATCGGCACCGTCAAAAGCCAGCATGATCAACGTCTAGATGCAAAACCGCTCCAAATTCCGCCTCTACGAGCGCGACACGTGTATTCTCGCCCAAATCCAAGTTCGAAATTTATGGCCCAAAAGCCCATTGGATCCGACCCAACACCCTAGTCCAATGTCCCTCGCTACCCAGCAACCAGGATGGACGCCACACTTAAACCCAACGTACACTGTGTGTACTAGGGCTTGGGGGGCTTGTGTACCATAAGGACCGAGCGGACGTACAATGTTAGTCGACCGGACGTCCGTGTTTTCGTAAACACTGCCTAACTGCGCGACCTTGCCACTCGTCATCCGGATGAATAACAATTCATTAGATTATCAATTAACCAGATTATGGTCGGCCGGCTGTAAAACCTAACAGCAGGGGTCGGCCGGCCATATCGCCAATTAACCAGATTAGGATTAAGATTAAGGTAAGTGATTGTTAAGAGCTATTGGGCTGAACTTGGGCCGTGATTAACTTTTCACTAATCCCAAGCCCATAACAAAAACTATAAATACAGGTCAAAGGTGAGTGGTAGATAGGTCGTATTCACTGCGCATTTATTACTGTTCCATTGAAATCGCCATTGCTTTGGTACTGACTTTGGCATCGGAGAATCTTTGACAAATTCCCCCCAGACGACTGGAGCGAACAAGGAGATTGGAGTGAAACCGGACGACAACAAGACAGTGTGAGGGTATTTGGTAACTCAGTCCCCATAACCGAAACAGAGAAGGACCTTAATTTGTCAATTAAGAAAAAAAAAACTAGTTTTATTGGAGAGGTTCCTTTGAGAAATATCCTAGTAATTAAAAACATCATTAGATTCTCTGAGCTTGACTTCTAATTAGAAAATAAATCCTTTTAAGGGAAATTGCTTTGTATAAGGTTTTGAAGTTCTTTTTTTTTTTGTATATATGAGAATCTTAATTGTCGCACTAATGATGCTTCTTCTGATTGTAATTGGGGTCATTACCAACGAAGAAGAGGCGACGTGACTTCGGCGATGGCCAGTCAAGGCGACATGTTGATCATAGTAATGAAGATTGAATATGGTGATGGCTAGGTGTGGTGGTTTCTTTTTCGAAACCGATTTCACGGTTGAAGAAAGGAATAAAGGAGAGGAGATGTGGTTCGTGACACTCGTGCTCCCTAATGACGTCTCCGGTGGTGACCACCGTCGTTGATGACATCTTTGAATGACTATGGGAGTGACGAAGACACTGGTCCTAGAACAACAATTGTGATGCGCACGTGAGAGAATTAGGAAACTTGGAGATTTTTGTTTCTGAAGAAGAAAAAGTTGGGTTGGGCTCAACGTATCCCCTATAGCCCCACTTTTATCTCTGCACCCTTTGTGATTATTTTCCACTTTTATCTCTGCACCCTTTGTGATTATTTTTTTTATTCATTTTCACTCTCATATATATTAACCACATTCCCCAAGTGTTTTTGTTTTATTGTTGGGTTTGTACTACTTTTTTTGTTGTTGCCCTCTACATTGATGACCGAAAGGGTAATCATGGAGGTGATTGGAGAGAATCAAGAGGATCCTCCTAAAGAGGTTGCAGAGAAAACCTTTGGGGGGAGGGGGGTGGTTATGAGTGGGTAGATCCTTTAGGCAATAAATATTTTTCCAAGTTCAAGTGTTCAAAGTTGCTAAATTCTTGGTTGAATGGCATATATATGTTTGAGAGTGCCGAGGTAGAGAACATTATTTCATTTAAGAGAGTATGCACCATAGATAATGTTTGTAGGGGTGTAAGGAAAATTTTTTCTATGTGTACATGCCTTTTATTGTTCAGTTACACATCTGATCACCCTTTGACGTGTTCACCATGGGTGTTCTATGTTTCTTGAATGTTGCATCGACACAACTTCATCCAAATAATTGGGGTTGTCTTCAAGCATTTTGGTTACAAAATGTTGCTAACTACCGAAAATAATAACATTGGTTGTGTAAAATGTGTGCAAATATCTCACTTGCTTCAAATTTTGATTATTTTCTTTTTACGAATAGTGCAATCCAAATCCCAAAATCTTATATTAATAAAATTAGAGCGGTCAAAACGGGCCATCCGGCTCGACCCGCCCCACCACGGGTTGGTCACTTAGTGAGCCAATCCAACCCGGCTCATTTATTAACGAGCCAGAAAAATTCGAACCCGGCCTGACCCACCACGAGTTGGTGGGTAAACGGGTTGGCTCACTGGCTCACTTAATTACAATTTTTTTTAAATAAAAAAATTACAAACTTTCTATAATTTAAATTAAACAAATTTCACTCCCAAGTTTCACTTCCAAAATGAGTGTTTAATTAATTTTGAAAATAAGAAACTTAAATGATTTTTTCAAGCAAAAACAAAATAATAAATACTTTTATAAAATTAAAATTAAATTTTAATAAAATAAAATTAAGTAGGTGGATTGGTGGGCCAACCCGGTCCACCACGGATCCAACCCGCATGAGCCCAGTTTAAATGAGCCGAGTTGAAATCTGACCCGCATAAAAAAAAAATACAATTTTTTCAAATCCAACCCGGCTCAAATCCATGGTGGGTCGGGTTGATCCGCGGATTGTGACCCATTTTCACAGCTCTAAATAAAATTAAAATAAAACACCAAAAAACTTTCAAGAATTAAAAGGGTACTTTTGTACTTACACATTAACTTCTGGGATGAGATTAAATTGAAACGGTCTCATATTTGCATCTCATATCATTTTAAATTGAAACCGCGGAGCTGAGTATTTTGCAGCTGCATCAAAAATCATCTCATGGTTAGGGTTCTTTCTCTGATCCTTTCTATCTTCTTCGTTAAAATATTATAGCCAAGTTAACATGTTATTGTTCTTGAATCCGAGTCTACATGTTCTTGAGATTAGGGTTTTCGGAATTTGGGATCCCGTTTCAGCAAGAAATCCCAAGGAGGCCCGTTGCTCATTGTACTCATTTTTTTTTCCTTTATGACTGCAGGACGGACAGGATTCACAGGACCCTAAGCAAAACCCTGCTGATATGACTGCCTTTGTAAGTAATTATTGGTTTTTATAAATCAATTATTTCGTGTTGTTCCCTTCAATTTTGATATTTGATGTGGCTGGTTTCCATTTACACCGTCAATATGGCTACTCTGCATGTTTATCCCAATTTTGTGCAGTTTTTTTTAGTTTCATGATATTTGTGTTAAGGGAATCGAAATCTGACCTTTGTCTACCCTACATTGTCTGTTTCCAGGTGCAAAATCTTCTTCAGCAAATGGTGAGTTGTATAGTATAGGTTTCTAGAGCTGCATTTATGATTTTTTTGGAGTATGATACTCTGCTGCTAACTAGATTTTTTTTTCCAGCAAAATAGGTTCCAGACAATGTCCGACTCCATTGTTACAAAGAATATCCTTTATTTGTGCCTTTCAAGTTCTTTAAATGAGTTTGCTGGAATTTGTTTATGAAATTAATTTCGGACAATTATAATTTGTGCTTGACTTTCTGTTCCTCCCCCTCTCTCACCTTCTCTCTAGATTGGGATTTGATTCGAAGTGGAGGATAGGATATCCAAGTGGGTGTTTGGTTTGAGAAAATGCATTTTTTTTTTGTTTTCAAAAGTTTGTATAGGAAATAGTGAAAACAATTATTTTAATTATTTTTTTATTTTCTATTCTAGCATTTCTTGTTCTAAATTTTTAAAAGCAGGGATATTTTTGTAACCAAGAGTGAAAATAGTGAATGAAATAAGGAAAGTTTATTCATATGAAGGCCCTAAGGTGACTTACATTCTGTTAACAACTTACCTATATTTTACTGAACAGTCTTGCTAGGAATCACATTGGGTAGTTAGTTAAGGAAATGAATGAATTCTCAAAGTTTGTTGATATAATATTAAACTGTGATCTGTTAGGTTCATTTTACATTGTTTCATTTGACTATTTGTGTTTTGTTACCAATATATAAATCTATTTCTCTTTTGTAAATCACTGGCAACACTCCAATGCCTCGTAAACTGTGATTTATGCAATGTTAAGATGTGATCTGCTAGTATCAGTTCTCATTGTTTCATTTGATAATGTGTTTTTGATTTGTTACCAATACATAAATCTGTTTCTGTTTTTTGTAAATCCCTGGCAACGCCCCAATGTCCATGAACTGTGATTTGTACACTGTTGAACTGCCATTCATTTAAGTTCACATTGTTTCATTTGATTATTTGTGTTGTTCTGTTAGCAATATATGAATCTACTACTTCTGTTTTGTAAATCACTGAAAACACTCCAATGCCCATGAAAATGGGTTCATGCCATCAGTACTCAAGCCAATGACATGATTGCATGTATACATTGTTAGGATCCAGTTATGTGCCGTCACCTAATAGCTTAAGCTATTGGGAGTGGTAACACCCTGACATACACAGTAACCCTAATAATAAATTACAACTGTGCATAGGTGCATCTTGACATTTTTCTGTGCCTATGGGCACAATGTGTGTATATATGGTGCTTCCAGTTTTATTACCCGAGTGTTTCTAGACTTGCCAAATACTTGAACTCTGAAAAAAGTGTTTTTCTTGACATTACTGCACTTGATGATATGGGAAACCGTATAAATGAGTTGGAGCAAAGCATCAATGATCTAAGAGCAGAGATGGGAGTGGAGTCCTCTCCATCACCTGTGCCCACTGCTAAGCCAACAGAGGACGAAACCAAGGAAGGGGGTTCAGCTTAAATGACGTTCTGATTTCATTTGCTACATTTTTCATGTATTGCATTGTACAAGGATTTTGGTTTTCTGCATCTATATATGTCTGCTGAAGTGGTTTGGAAAACAGAGTGCATCTAATCATTTGTAGCTAATCGTATGTTTTTTTTTTTTTATGATTTAAGGGTAAACCAATTTTTTATGTTGCAGCTTGCTCCCTTTTTAACTCAGCATGCTCCTGGTGCAGGAATTCATACCCCTTAATCCAGGGTTTCTGTACTTATATTATTCACTTTTTATTGTGTCTACAAACCCTATTTATTTTTAAACTTTTGATGGTTTTGAAAGAAAGCTGTTGTTGTAAAACCGATATACCAATTGTCAATGCAGGATTTGCGATTCTATATTTAAATTCAGCTCCGTACGTGTTAGTTTTTGACATCATTTTAACAACTTCGTCATAAATTGGCAATTGCTTGTCTGTAGTCACACTGTTCATCCAGTCCTCCTTGCGCCGTCTTCCATTACCTATATTTACATCCCATTCTATTGTCATAAAAGACTAGTTTTTCATGCTGCAAGCAATGTCCTTTTTTTTTATTTCTTTTTTTAACACTGAAGTTTTAGGAGTAAACTAATACTAATTTGAGACCACACATGGTGCTTGCAATTTTCAATTCTTAGTATTCAAGTGCATTTTATTAATATTGTTAGCTAGAACTAAATTAATCTTATTCAATTTTAAGCACTTAAAACTCAGTTTATTAAAAAAAAAACAGTAATTTTAACTTTTGTTTAAATATTGGTTACTGATACAAATGTTTCTCCTTCCTTGCCTTTCTTTCTTTCAAATGCTACCAACATTACTCTTTAATATACTTATGAAGTCCCATTCCAGTTTTATGGAACCCCGCTGCGATTTTCTATTTTCTAATAGATTTTGACAAACAATAAAAGTAGTTAAAAAATGTCTACTTTTAGTTTTTTTTTTATTCTGCACTGAGTAAATGGAGAAAATTGAATAGAAAAAGCTAAGCAAATATTAGCAGAACAGGAAGAAAAATCTTGTAGGTACAAGAAAGATCAATATGCATAAAAAAGTTTTATAAAATTGAAAGTCTAAGGATTCAATGATTAATTTTAGAGTAATTTTCTATGTTTTCATAAAGGAAGATGTTTCTTTTACACCATTTGCACTCCGTTGACAACTTATTTTTAAAATATTTTAGTCATTAATTAACTTTTATATTTATAAAGAAATAAAGAGATCGAAGGGTATATTAGTGACTTTAATTACATAAATTACTTATAGTTATCACCGCTGTTTTATAAATTAATTATAACTATTACAATCACGACTATTATTTTATAAATCAAGGCTACTGTTTATAAATTGCAACTATTGCAATTACAGCTACTATTTATAAATTACAACTGTTGCAATTACGGCTACTATTAATATTGGATAAGCTTGTCTGCATTTAGCTTTTAAAAAAGTCTGTTTGTACTTATGTTCTTGGTTAATTTTTATTTTAAAAATAAAAATGTTTTATTTGTTAAGAATAAAATCCTATGTACTTCTTAAATAAGTGATTTTTCAAAAATTGTTTATTTCATATATTTGTTTTTTAAAATTCAACTAAATTGACAAATTGTTTTTACCACTACTACGACTAGTCTCTCATCATTATTGTTACTAAATTATTATTTACATGCCATCAACTAATAATCAATTACTATAATATTCTACTATTATTCTTTTTTTTTTTTCATTTGTTGTCATCATAATTAGTTTCAACATTACTTATGCATTATATTACTACACTAATCACCATCAACTTTGGTTGTCATATGTAATACTCATTATTAGGACCTTCATAATTATGGTCATTGCCAGCACTAGTATCTTACTTTACAGATATCATTACTAAGCGTAACACTACTCATCTCTTTACTACACATTAATATTAGTAAGATTCAAATGTAATCTCAAAATTTGAAAACTAAAAACAACACATTAATATTAGAAATTATAAAAATAAGAAAGGATTTTAGTTCATAAATATTTCACAAATTTGAACAAGTACATCGCTAACTGAAATCAGAAGTTGTTTTTCTCAAAGCTTGGTTTTGTTGTCTGAAATGGGAACTTTCTTAGTTTTGTCTTTACGCTAATTGCTAAAATCAAATTAGAGGAATCATATTCATTATTTTTTTGTTGCCTTAGATCACAAGCAAATATAAATTAATTGCTTTAATTAATTTGTTTTTTTTTGTTATCGAAGCTAAATTTAAATGTGAATTGATACTTTCTGATTTGATTTGTATTTTTTAGCTCAAATAACAAACAATTTTATGGAGACATAGGAGAATACATTTTATATGCGCTTTTATATGTGAAGTGTGAAATATTTTATATATTTTTTTCACTTTATTTAATTGTTATTTGATATTTTGATTTAAAATTTATATAATTATAATTTTTTTTTAAATATTTGAAACCGAGGATAAAAATATTTTTTTTAATATTGAATATTTAAAAATTATATATTTTCTTTTATACGATTTTTATATTTTTATAAAAAATAATTAATTGATATTAAAACCATTAGAAAACATGTACAAGTACGAGTATAGGTATATTTGTTACTTGATGGAGATGGGGATAAAACAAAAATCTTATATTTGTTGGGTATGAGGATGTATTTTTTAAATTTTTGGAATGAATATGAGATAATAAAACTTGTCCCTGTTCTGCCCTGTTGCCATCTATATCTCTGAAAGACTTTGGATAAATGTCATATTATATGCCTTTAAAATATAATAAGTTGACCCCTATTGCCATCTATATCTCTGAAAGACTTTGGATAAATGTCATATTATATGCCTTTAAAATATAATAAGTTGACCGATTGCAATTTTGTAATAAAATGGTAGACTTATCATGAAATGTCTAGGTTTACTTATAATAATAAGTTGACTGGTGACATTTTTGCAACGAAGTTTAAACTTATTATGATTGGTGTAGATAGATCTATCATAATAAGTAGGTATGGTGTCACAATTGTAATTAGAGGAAATCCGTTATTAAATGACTTGTCATAGTTTATGTTTACCATGTTTGTTAATTTAATACCACTCATAGTATGTTTGAGTCCTTACTCACGATTTCTCTCAATTATTTCATTCCTCCTCTTCATGTTGTCTCTCAAGCAATTCACAACTCAAGCTTCCTATCTTAACTTTCATTCTTGCGAACTTCATTGTTGCATCTTGTATTCTTGCAACTTCCGCTGTGGTTGTCCTCCTTCATTACTACATTCTCGCAAAGAGGTAAGTTATTGAATCCTAAAATTAATTATATTCAATTTTTCTTCAGTTTTGTGATTGAAATAACAATATGTTTTGATTGTTGCTTACATACTGCACATTTGTTTGTTGTTGATGTTACTCATACGATTGCTTTGGTAATGTCATCATGAGTTATTGTTAGGAACAAAGTTGAGGTCAAATAGAGGAGGACGCGATATGGTTGATCATATGCAGGCTGCTTGGCAGCGGATTTGCGGTGGGTAGGTTTGCTAGTGAGAGACACTTGTTGATGGTGTACATGGAGATGGAGAGTGGTGGGGCTTCAATAAAAGGTTTGAGAATAATCTATATTTTAGTTGGAAGTGGGAGAGTTAAGGAAGCTAGACTTACTATGTCATAATATGTTGGACTTATTATGAATGATATTTGTAACCTGACGTAGTAAATTTAGTTTACTATGTTAGGTCTTTCGCAGCATCATAGAAAGCGTGCATTTTCTATATCACCTACAACTATGATGCCAAAATAAGTGTCATAATAAGCCTCATACATTTGACATAAAAAGTCCTTAGTATGAACATTTCTCGTAATCTAGTACAACTTGATTCGATAAAACATATTGAAATTGACAAATAGTTCATAAAAAATGATATTGACAAAGGTCTAATTGTTATAATCTATGTTAATAATAGAACTCTAGTTAGCAAACATATTATGTAAGAGAACTCCCAAAGAAAAATTCTAAGATCCAATAAATAAGTTGAAAATGATCGATATTCATTTAAATTTTTTGAGAAGAAGTATTCTAAATAAGGGATTATTAAGATAAAAATATCTTGTTATCTCCATACTAGGAAGAATATCTTGACAATCTACTCATTCATTCCAATAAAAAATGTTTCCTTTTTAAAGACAGAGTCACTGTTACAAATATAAGAGTTGAGAATTTAATAATCATATTATTCCTTTCATTATTCATGTAATTTCTTCTTATGTTAACTTAAGCTTTTTAAAAATTAAGTCACTCAAAAAGGGATGATAAATAAACTCATTTCCATGGGTATTGTTTAAACACGTCCTCATTTTGACAAGAAATTCTACCATTGATTGGTACGGATATAAGTATGGATAATATATAATTTTTGTAATTGGGTATGGGGAGGAGATGTGTATACATATTTGTTACATCCCCATCCCTATAACCGCCCTAATACTCATCTTTGTTTTCATCGTTGTTCTTGTTTAAATTACTAAAGTACCTACAATTTATTAGGTAATATATATATGCCGCATTCCAGGTCAGCCAAGTCACGTGGAAGGACTTCTCTCGTAGGCGCTGGGCGGTGTAGGGTTTGGGCTGAGTGAAAAATTGCTTTTGTATTTCCATTCCACAAGCAACTTTCCTTTTTGGCTCCTTTGCTTTTCTTTGTTGATTTAACTTCTTGGATGGCTCAATCATGGTCTCCAAGCTTTATTAGTCCCTACAAAACAAAGTATAAGTGTTTTAGTTAAGAAAAAAAGGACTTTTATAAGTAACCTTCCATAGAAGTAAAGTGTTAGGTGATCCTTCTTCTTGAATCTTCCTTGCCATGAATCTAGTAAGAGGTCCAATGTGATTCCTTGATGGTCTTCCATCACAGTTTAAACTATTCTATTTGTGTGAATCTTGATTAATTTTGACTTTATTTTTATTTTTCTATTTTTATTTTTATTTTTATTTTTATTTTTATCCTTTTTTGTGTGTTTTGTGTCATTTGTTTTTGTTTTTGTACTAACAGTGTTTTCTAGGGTTTTGTGTCTAATGCTTGCAGGATGCAATTCAGACAAGAAGTTAACTATATGGACACTCAGTTCCACCAAGGTAATTTCAACCACTGGTGGAAACCTCACTTAAA